TCTCCACCTTTTGCTTCCAGCCAGGTCTGGGCTGCTTCCCTCTTTGGGAAGTCTGGGGGAGGGGAGAGGAGGGAGCAGAGGACCGGAGCAGAAGAGCTGCGATCTACTCACTAGCTCTCTGGCTGGAGGCTGGGGCACTAAAGCCCCCTAGCGTCTGGCAGCCCAGAAACAGTGAGGAGCGAGGACAGCCCTGACATCCAAGGATGAGGGGCTGCCCCAGCTCCCCGGCGCGGCTGCCCTACTTGGTCCTTCTGACTAACCAGAGACCCCTCAATGTGGAACGCTGTCGTGGCTGCGGGTCCTGAAAGGGGAAGCAGCAGCACAAGGGACAAGCTGAGCTCAAACACTCTGTGCTTTGAAGCCACGGAAGGCCTTGAGATGGGTGGGTTGTGAAATGCTGGACACCGGAGGCCAGGGCTGACTGCTCGCTGTACCCCGGCCCTCAGACAGACAGGCGGCCCCCATCCTCTGCTCTGGCCTTGCTCATGCCCATCTCAGCACCATCTCAGTGGCTCCTAGCGCTGGAAGGGGCAGTCAGAGGGAGGGGGCTCCCGAAGACACCTAGTTTGCCAACGTCCTTAGTGCCCAAAGTGGGCCCGAGCCGCCGGGTAAACTAAGCGGGGTGGAGAGAGGGCTCCGGGATGAGACAGGCCCGGGCTTCACCGTGGATCCCTCCTACCAGGGGCCCAGGCAAACACTCAGCTTCTCTCAGACCACATTTGTCCGCCTCCACAGGGATGCTCTGAGGATTAAATGTGAGGACGCAGGTGACGCGGCTGGCCCAGCCCTGACTCAGAACCACAGCGAGCACGTAATAAACATTATCTGCTATTATTTATGTCACTGCCTCCCGCTCCCCCACCCAAGCTCTCCCCCAGCAGCCGCTGCAGTCTTTTCTAAAAGGCACACGGGAACCCTCCAGGACCGGCCCTGCTATGCGCGTTTGCCCCGATTCATGTGCTGGACTCCTAACCTCCAAGGTGACGGTATTAGGAGGCAGGACCTTTGGGGGTGATGCTGTGCCTTTATAAAAGACGCCCCAGAGAGCTGGTTCACCCCTTCCACCATGTGGGGACACTGTGAAAAGACACTGTCTATGAGGAAGCAGGCCCTCACCCGACACAAAATCTGGCACCGTGCTCTTGGACTTCCCAGCCTCCAGAAGTCTCAGAAATAAATTTCTGTTTATAAACTACCCAACTATGCATTCTGTTGTAGCAGCCTGAACAGACTAAGACAGAACTCCTCCTTAAAATCTGCAACGCTCTCCAGCAGCTCCAGTCCAAGCCCGTCCGGGACCGCTCCTGCCCCTCGCTGGCCTGGAGCTTCACCTCCCACTCCTGCCCCTCGAACTTCACATGCTAACGTGGAACTCCCTGTACTAAGCATCACACACCTGGGCCTTCCTCACGCTGTCTCTTCTGCCTGGAGCCGTGTGCGCCCACCAGAGGCACCCCCAGAACTACTGTTCATCCTCTCAGACGGAGGCCTCTCCTCTGGGGAACCATTCAGATCTCGGTTCCCTGTCATTCCAGGGAGAACCTCCCCTCAGCTGCACCTTGCTCGCATTGTTCCCGCTGCCTGGAACAGACCCCTTGCTCCCAGACCCCACTCCTGCAGTAAGGCTCAGGGTTCCTGGGGACTCAGCTCGCTCCTCACCAAGCACGTTCCTCTGGATCGTGCAGCTTCCTCTCAGCTCAGAACTTCACACCGATGGCACCATCTAGCCCTTGGTTCCATCTGACAATTGTGTTTTGCCATTGTTTGCCAAGTGTTAATCTTGTGCTGGTGCAGGGGGAGTCAGAGATGCAATATGGCTCCAGCAGTAAAGGCGTCTGGGAAATGCTGGACTCTGTTTAATCTTCTGTGACTGTTTGACTCTCTGGAGCCCCAGGCTTGGCTACTACCCAGAAAACCAGAAAGCCACCCAAAGATAAACATCATGCCCCCAGGGAGGAGGTTAATGAATGTTCAGAATGTGATAACTGCCTGATGTCTGTTAACTTAGAAATGCATTGTTCTTCCTGGTGGTCTGAGGGACTACCCACCATATGACTTTTACTCCTAATCCGCTATAGAAAGGAGACCCTGTCTTGGGAGGAGGTGGACCTGCCCCAGCTGGCCACCGCTGGGGGCAAGCAGCTGCTGTGCCCATGTGTGTGGGCTGTTCCTTTAAAGATCTTACAAACTCGGACAGGGCTACATGTCAGTTCTTTGGAATTGATCCCGAATTTAGACTTTTGGGGCTTTCCCCCAACTGTTAGGGAGGAACATGTTTCCTCTACCGTTCGAGGTTCTTCTGGCTGGTCTTAAAATCAAACTGGCATGAGGCAGATGAGCAAGAGAAAAACAAATTAAAGTTTATTAACATGTATGACTCTTGTGTGCAAGGGAGAGACCCAGGAACACTAAATAACTTGTCAAAATGGCCCAAGCCGTCTGGTTAAATACCACCTACAGCTGAGGACAAAAGATGCTGTGGGTGGTGAGTCAGTGAGGGGAGGGTACCAGGAAAAACACAGTAAACAATGGTGATTATTATGCAGACTTAAGTCCAAACTTTCTTCACTACACAGTGAGGGCAGGCCTGGTAGGTAAGGGAGACAGACAAAAATAGAAGTCCCTTAAAAAGGGTAACTGAACTAACTTCCACTAGGCTTTCCGAGTTTCTCCTAAAATTAACCTGTCCAAAATAACCTACATCCCAAGAGGCATATTCTGGGATGGCAAACTCTGCTCCCCTTCACTTGCCTTCCCAACCAGGTGACAAGTGTCTCAGAGGTTGACTTAGTTGTTCCCTCCAAGCGCAGCCCAATACTACACTGATCCACAGTCCAAAGGGACTGGATACCAAAAGCCAACCAGGAAAACCACTGGCTGGAAACTATGCTCTTGGCCCCGCCTGGAAACACTGCACCGGACCCTCTCTGCCTTGTGAAACAAAAGGAAACACACACATACCCTCTCTCTGCTCTCAGCCACTAAAACAACACATTCCTCACTAATCAATACACCGGGCTGGAGGCTTCTTCACACCAGCCATGGTATTAAAGTCCTTTTGCTAAACGGTCATCCAACCTCAAATAACAATGGGCGGTCCATCTCCTCTCCTGGAGAGAACCCTACCCTTCATTTCTTACCAACCTCCTAACAGGGTCTCTCCCAGCCCCCGAGGCCGTCCTCTCACACCCTGTCCCCAGCCTCCTGGCAGACTCTCCCAGTCCCACAGCCTCCCGCCGTTCCCAGACTCCCTGCCCCACCTCACAGTTCTTCCTTATTCTACAAACCCAACAGCCCTCTACAGTTCTCTTCTCGGTCCTAAGAGCAACACAACCCTTCCCCACCCTCCCAGGCTCTCTTCCTCCTCTGCCCAGGGCCTCAAGCCCCTTCCTCTAACCCGACTAAGTTCCCAGGGCTGAGTCCCTTCCCTGCTCCCTTTCAGCTCCGCTCTCATCAAGCTCAGCTTCTCCCTCCTCTGGCTCTCCCAGAGGTGACCCCCAGGCTCCCACCCGGATCCCTGCTGCCCCGCCCAGTACAGGTTCCAAACCTGTTTCCTTCCTGGAAGTAACACTGATGATAGCCTACACCATTCAAGCTAACCGTGTGTCAGGTTCGATTCCAAGCACTTTACATACATGCACTCTTATTCAACGCTAGTAGCAAACTTCTGAGGTGAGTTTTACTAATGATCCTCTTTCAACAGGAAAATTACCTAAGCTCATAAAATAAGTGGCAGAGCCACACTTTAGGCTTGGGCTTTTGACACTTTTTTTTTTTTAAGACTTTGTTTATTTATTTTCAGGGAGGAGAGAAAGAGAGGGAGAGAAACAGCGACAGATTGCCTCTCTGACCAGTGACTGACACACCCTCAACCGGGAACCTGGCCCACAACCCAGGCTTGTGCTCTGACCAGGAATCGAACCAGCAACCTCTCGGTTCAGAGGCTGATGCTCCATCCACTGAACCACACCAGCCAGGGCACTTTAGACACTCTCAAGTCACAAAGATCCCTCAAAGGATAGTCATCACTTTTAGGAGCTAATACGAGTTGTGTGTGAAATGTCTTGCACGCTGTAGACCTAGCCCCCTTCAGGTCCCCTTTCTAACAAACCACAGTCATCCTGCTCACACGGCTGGGCCACCGCTTCCACTGCCTCTGGTGTTCTCATCTCCCTCACCTCTCTTTCATCCCTCCATCTGCTAAACAAAGTCAGCATCACTCATACCCTCACCCCACGACATCCTCCAGCCTCTCAGCCCAGGACTCCATTCTAACTCCATTACCCAGGATTCCTCTCCTCTGAGGTCACTTGAGTATAAGGTCCTCCTACATCGGTCACCATTAACCAGGGCCATACTCGTGCCAAGGACCTCACACACCTCACTCTTGAACTCATCACTCCCAGGATGACTTAAGCCCAGACCCACTCGCCCCCATCACCACAGCGCTCATGCGATTCCACTGCCAAGGCCTTGGAAAGGTCAATTGTTAGGGCAGGTGTCCTGGGCCCCAAGCCCCATCTTGCCCACCTGGGATCCTTCAGGCAGGTTCCCTTATAGCTCCCAAAGGCTTCTTGACCTGGCTGCTCTCTCAGGTTCCCTTCAGACCTCAAACCACATGGTTCCAGCCCAGGTTCTCCTCTGGTCCCTTGATCCGCCTTTAGCCTGGGTTCCCTTTCAGACTCATGATGATGTTGCCCTTGATCCACCTTTAGCCTGGGTTCCCTTTCAGACTCAGGATGATGTTGCCACGGCCCAGGGGTTCTCAGCCCAGGGCCCATCCATCATCTCAGACTATCTCTACTCAAACCGTGTTGACACAACCTGGGCGCCCTGGTCCTTCGACTGTGTTCCCTCTGCGGCTTTAGACGATGGCACCTTATTCTGAAATTCCCTCTGTCCTCTAGTCTCCAGCCCTTCGTCCTCACCCCGCCTTCTCAGGCCATGACTCCTGCGTCTTCTCAACTTATGTCCGGGCCGACCCTCGGTGCGGTTCTTACCCAAAGAGGCCCGAGAAGAAGGATTGCGAGTTCTTCACTTTGCGCTCGGCCTCAGCCAGCAGCGCCGTCGCCTCCGCTTCCTTCCCGGAGTTGTCCATGGCGGCTGCACAAGGACCCAGCAAACCGTCCGACCCGGGCCCTCGGAGGACTCAGCCGGGGCCCGCCCGCGGTATACAGGTCAGGGTAGCTCAGCCGGCTGCGTTGACGTCGCACCGGCGCGGACCTCCTGCTACCTGGAACCATGTGACTCGCGCTGGCCAACCAGCGACCTCGTAGCACGGCGCGCGCCCCGCCGGCCACGCCCCTGCAGCCGTCGCACGCCACCCCGTGACCCACGGCCTCCAATCGGCGAGCCGATGTTTCAACGCAGGCGCATACAACTGCGTACGGCAGCCCAGTTTTTTCCGGTTGCTCCGTACAACATCGCAGGTAGTTCTGTATAAGCCAGGTGATTCTGTATAAGCCAATCGTAGTCCCGACCGTCAAGCACCCTTCCCGAAGTGCAACCTTTCTGGATCCTCCTCCACCAATCAACAGCCTCTTTACTTACGTTCTTCCCTCCCTTCGGGCTCTAGTCAGCTGACGGCTGACCCTCACGTGACAGCTCTTACGCTTCCCCCCCGCCCCCCGCCTCTGGGGGAGGTACGCCCCGCCTAAGCCTGGGTTTGACAGTTTTCTTGCGCAGAGCTCCGCCTTCCTTCTCTTTCACTTTGAAAGAAGGAAACCTCTCTTGCGCCCTCTGCCGAGAGATGCCGAAACTGATTTATAAAGGGCGGTGAAGCATTTCAGAGGGGAAACTGAAAAGTAGCTGTTTTCTGACTCTGGTTTCATTAAAAAAAAAAAAAAAAGGCTGGAAAGTGGTAAAAATTCCATTCTCCAATAAAAGGAACTGTCGAGGGAAGACAGCGAGCAGCTGATGCAGTAATGGCTTTCCTCCGCTTCTGTAACCTACTTCGCGCCAAAAGCAATGCCCCGCCCCTTAGAGTCTTTCCCCTTTAAGCCAAGCTCAAAGGGACCGCGGCATCGTTGTTGGGGACCCCGACTTTGCAAGGTTACTCCACTGAGCCCGCAGGCGGTAATAAAGCTTCCCTTCCTTTCACTACTCTTGGTGTCGACTGAGTCCTTTCCCTATCCGCCGCAACATCTGGTTCCCTGACGGGGAAACAACCCATTCGCGCGGGAAAATTGCCTCCGGTGCAGGGACATGGGCATCGGCAGCAGCCCAGGGGAGGCCCAGCGGTGAACGGGGAGGCGCCGCCCGAGACAGTTACCGGGACCCACGTCGCGCTGAGGTTTCCCAGGACAGCGCTGGGAACCTCCACCCCGACTCCGGACCACGAGGAGAGCGAAGGACCACGAGGAGAGCGAACGGAACCTGGGAACCACTTGGCGTCGGATCCGGCGAGTTTTCCCCTGGGAAAGCGCCCCAAGTCAGGCCCGTCCTCGGAGGGAAGGGGACTGATCGCCTCCCAGGACCACGAGGTCCACCAGGTGCGGCCTTCCCGGGAACGGAGGGGGAGGACTGTATAGCCTCTGAGTGAGTGAGCGAGTGTGGGGTCCCGGTTGCTGGCGGCCAGGCATCCAGTTTGTGACCCCATGGTGAATAACCAGGGAGCCTGAGTGGCCGGAACCTGCGATGCCTCGGCACCGCCAAACGGCCGTAACAGCTGAGTAACCCGGATTCTACACAGGCAGCCTTAACTAAGACGGACCTAAGTTTCTCCCCAGAGAAAGAGGCAAAGGGGGCACCTGATCAGTCTCCGACTGGAGGCATCCTGACACCTTGTCTGTCTACACTGTAAAGGAGGGAAGATGGGAGGTGGACAGTCTACCCCCACAGTCCTAGACTGCATGGTACAGAACTTTGACAAATTCAAGGCAGACTATGGCGTTCCCCCCCACCCCATGGATCCAGATACCCTGACTACCCTCTGTGAGTTGGAGTGGCCTTCATTCGGGGTGGGGTGGCCCTCAGAGGGGACCTTAGACCTAGGGATTATCAGGGCTGTCCACATAAGAGTGACAGGCAGGCCAGGGTACCCGGACCAGTTTCAGTACACAGACCGGTGGCAGGACTTGGCCCGGCAGATGCCAGCGTGGCTCCGAGGGTGCACAGGAGCCCAACAGAAAAGGAAAGGAACAAACGGGGCACGAGGCCGGAATTGAGTTTGTCAACGCCAGCCTCCAAATGCAGGAAGCCGTGCATCCTAGTCGCTCAACCAGCCGGCACACGAAGGCACCCCATGTACCAGGGAGCCCCCGATGAAGAGCCTCCGATGCCCGTCTGCCCACCCCAGGTGCAGTAGGACCAGAGGTCGGCCCAGGAACGCCGCCTCCGTCGGTCTCCCCACCGACCACCCCCCAAGACAGCCCGGAGCCCTGTCGCCCGGAGGCTGCGCTCGGCGAAGCCCGTCGTCCAGAAGCCCCTCAAGGAGGCTCAGGGCCCGCCCCAGATAGGCCCCGATGGGACGGTACAGCCCAGACGGCCGATCGTGTACACCAACCGTTCACCACCGCTGCCCTGCTGCCCTGAAAGCATCGTGCCCCGTCCTGTTCGGAGAAGCCCCAGGCCTCACCAACCTCATGGAGTCCCTCGTCCACACCCATCGGCCCACTTGGGACGACTGCCGCCAGCGCCTCCTCACCCTGTTTAACACGGAGGAGTGACGACAAACTCTGCAAGAAGCTCGGAAATATTTACAGAACACCACCCCAGCCGGGACACGAGACCCGGAGGCATACACAGAAATCATACACCGTCATTTACAAGGGGGTATCCTGGTAGCGTGCCAATCGCCGTGGAACACCCCACTCCCGCCAGTGTGTAAGCCCAACGGTACAGGCTGTCGGCCAGTCCAGGACCTGCGAGCCGTGAATGAGGCTACTATTAGCGTCCATCCCGTCATGCCCAACCCATATACCCTCCTAGGGCAGCTTCCGCAGGCGGCGTGGTTCACCTGTTTGGACTTAAGGGATGCCTTTGTTTTCCTCCGCCCAGCTGAGAAGAGTCAGCCCCTGTTTGCCTTCGAGTGGGAAGAACCCCGCACCGGACAGAAGGCCCAGCTTACATGGACAAGGCTTCGCCAGGCATTCAAGAACTCACCCACGCTCTTTGGGGAGGCCCTCGCCAAGGACCTGGTGGTGTTTCCGACATGGGGAGGAGATCTCACCCTCCTCCAGTAGGTAGATGACCTCCTGTTGGCGGCCCTGACCAAGGAATCCTGCTGGAAAGGCACCAATCTGCCAACAACTGGTGAGATACCTCGGCTTCATTATTACCCAGGGAAGGCGAATGCTAGGGGCAGAGAGGAAGGAAGTTATCCTCTCCCTGCCTACCCCCACTACACAGAAGAAACTCAGGGAGTTCCTTGGGACAGCGAGGTTTTGCCGCATTGGGATCCCCGGTTACTCGGCCCTGGCTAAACCACTGTACCAGGCCCTGACAGGCGCAGATGCAGACCCGATCTGCTGGGGACCGGAGCAGCAGGAGGCCTTCAAGACTATTAAGACCCTCCTGGGACAGGCTCCGGCCTTAGGACTTCCAGACGTGTCCAGGGAATTCAACCTGTTCGTGCACAAGAAGAATAAAACTGCACTAGGAGTATTAACCCAAGCAATTGGGCCCTGGTAGCGGCCTGTCGCTTACCTGTTGAAGCAACTGGACTCAGCGGCGGCTGGGTGGCCCCCATGCCTGCGCGCCATCGCCGCCGCAGTTATCCTCATCCGGGAGGCAGACAAACTGACCCAGGCTCAGAACATCAAGGTTTACATCCCTCACGCTCTCACCAGCCTCCTGAATAGACAGGGCACAAGTGGCTCTCCAACCCCCGGCTTACCCAGTACCAAGGTCTCCTGTGCGAAAACCCATGGGTCGCCGTGGAAACAATACGAAAACTAAACCCCGCCACCTTCCTCCTGGCTGACAAAGGACCCTGAACATGACTGCACTGAGGTCACCAAGGAGGTCTATGCAGGTCGGCCCGACCTCTGGGATCAACTGCTCACTGGCCCTGATCTGACCCTATATACCGACGGCAGCAGTTACACACAGGGCGGGGTCCGGCACACTGGCTGCGCCGTCGTAAGCCCCGACCAGGTCCTCAAGGCAGCAGCCCTACTATCAGGGTGGTCAGCACAGCAAGCGGAACTATGGGCCCTCATTCGAGCCCTTCAAATAGCTGACAGAAAAACAGCCAACATTTACACTGACTCTCGGTATGCTTTCGTCGCCCTGCATGTCCTTGGGGCAATTTACAAGGAAAGAGAGCTCGTCACGGCAGGAGGAAAGGAAATAAAGAATAAAGATGAAATATTATATCTACTAGAAGTAGTATGGGCGCCGAAAGCAGTAGCAGTAATACACTGTAAGGGACACCAGAGGGGGGACACAGGTACTGCGCAGGGAAACAGGAAAGCGGACGAGACCACCAAACAGACTGCACGGGGAGAGATAAAGGTGAAGCCATACCCTGTCCGAGCGCTCCCCCTCCTCAAACAAGACCTCCAGGAACCCACATATGCTCCGGAGGAGGTCACTTGGGTCAAGAAAGAAGAGTGCTGGGAGACCCCAGATGACCTCTGGCGACTTCCGGACAGAAGGTCGTATGTCCCGCGGGGGCCGGCACACAGCCTGGTGCAAGAATGCCATCAGCTCACGCATTGAGGGAAAACTGTCCTAGAGGCATTGCTCGCCAAGTGTTCCTATATAGCCAGGTTACTGAGCATGTGCGCATCCGTATGCACTAGATGCCCAACGTGTGCCTGGAACAATCCACAGCAAGGGCCGAAAGGTCCTCCAGGGATCCCGCTATCCAGGACAGCCCCATTTGAAGATTTACAGGTTGATTTTACTGAAGTCAAACCAAGTCAAGGCTGCAATCTCTGCTTGCATTCACCTGCACCTCCTCGGGCTGGGTAGCGGTGTACCCGACCTGCACAGAAAAGAGCAAGCAAGTTACCAGGCCCTGCTCAGGGCCATCGTTCCCCAGGTCGGACGTCCCCTCTCAGCCAGAAGCGATGATGGGCCGGCCTTCGTGGCTAAGGTGGTCCAGGGCCTTGGCCACCAGCTGCAAACAGAATGGAACCTCCACGGTGCTTACAGGCCCCAAAGTTCAGGAAAAGCAGAGCACATGAACCGGACTCTGAAAAATACGCTGGCCAAGTTCTGCCAAGGAACCGGACTCCCCCGGGTGGACTTGCTGCCACGAGCCCTACTCCGAGTACGGAACACCCCCCACCAGACAG